AAAAATCTATATTCTGGAGAAATGTGAACACCTAAGATCTCAAACCTCTTTACCCTTCATACTATGTCAGTGAAGGATGAAATTATGCATTAAAACAAAATTTTCATATCTTCTAATTTTTTCTCAAAATATGTGGGTTAACACCTACAGAAAATCTAGTTTTTTGATAAATTCTATATTAAGAAGTTTAGGCTCTTTATTGTTGATGAAAATTACCCAATCACATTAGAAATTTGTATTAATGTATGTTAGAATTATTTTCATGGTACATGGAAATACTCTCAAATTTTCAACATGTAATTTATTTAAATTTTATATACCGCTTAATTAGTGGGCAAACCCCTTATAAAAAACTCTATTTTCTGGAGAAATGTGAACACCTAAGGTCTCAAACCTCTTTAACCTTTATAATATGCCAGTGAAAGATGAAAATATGCATTAAAACAAAATTTTCATATGTTGAGATTCACCGCAGGGATCAGTCAGAGTGCTCCAGCGCCGACTGTGAGAATGTAGTGATGCACTGTCCTCCAATGGCCGGTGTTCTTTGGTAAGAATCGTAGAGCATGGCGTCATAACCGCTCCTCCAATGGTGCACTCTTGTAGTGCGATAAACATTTTTTATAATCAAATGGGATTCAATAAATAGTATTTGGTGGGCAGACCCGGTCCAAAGCATAGGCAAAGTAAGCTATTGTTTACGGCCCAAAAAATTTTGAGGTCTTTTTAGGTTTAAACTAAAAATATATATATAAAGGGACAAGGGCACATTTTTTAAATTCAAATGGAGACTCCGGTGGGTATGGGCCGGTCCTATTGGTGGGTCTTGTATAAGTTGACGCTTGTAATTAAGTTGCGTTGTTACGATGCTTTATCTCACAAATATGGCCTGCGGAGATTTTTCTACAAATCTTTGAAACTGGCTTTTCCAATTGGTACCTGATTAAATTGGACTGGGTCCTAATTGTTTCATTCCATGGGCTTATAAAGCGAAATTCAAAAGCCCTTTAAAAGTTTTCCATTCCCCTTTACAAATTGACAAACGGCCCAGCTCTGGTTTGATGAAAGCCTATGACTTTTAGATCATATGCACACGAGGAACAAAAATGCTGTGTCGTTTAGTAGAAAACAAAACACGTAACACAAAGTTACAAACTATCTTTGGCTTTGATCAAAAAAAAAAAAAATACTATCTTTGTCTATAGTTTACACCATCACAGCTTAAAAAATGTTTATAGCCCCTAAAATCCTGGATCCGATCCTAAGTGAGTTCCAATATGTTAATGTTCGATAGCTCGTTCCAATATGTTTATGTTCGATAGCTCGTTCCAATATTTTTAAAAAATGTTTATAGCCCCTAAAATCCTGGATCCAATCCTAAGTGAGTTCCAATATGTTAATGTTCGATAGCTCGTTCCAATATGTTTATGTTCGATAGCTCGAAACGTTCAAGTTGTATGAGTAAGTTGTATTTGGTTCGAGAATGTTTTCAGTTTGCATGAATATTTGATGATTCCAGTAATCATCTACGTTACAAATAACTAATAGTCGCGCTCCACCATCAACTTTTTTTATTTGTCACGAACCAAGTGCGTTTTTGCAAAATGGTGAACAAACAAAAAAATATTGTTTTTATTTTTGACAAATGTGTTTTTCACGTAAAATACGTGTAAATAGCAACTTAGGTCATCTCTAATGTTAAACTATAGTTTTTACTCTAAAATGGAGTGGTATGAATTAAGTTCAATCCCACTTTATTTTTAATTCCATAATAGAATAATGCACACAAAAAAAAATCGATTACTCTATTTATGAAATAAATTTTATTATGGAATAGAATATAGAGTGGGATTATAATACTTTTTACTTTATAATTATTTTTACTCTATTTTAAAGTAGAAAATAAAGTTGGGTTGGAAATGTCCTTTATACGTTTTATATTTCATAATTACAAGATACGCACCTCATTCAAATTTCCATTCATAACTTTAGAATAGTCACCAATAAGAGAAAGACAAGAAAAAGAAAACATGATGACGTGTTGATGATGTGTTAATGCCAGTGGTAATTTTGTGGGGTTTAAAGATTGAAAATTTCAAGAATGAAAGGTGCGTGTCTTGTTCTTTGAATCTCTAGGGTTTAGGTTTTAGGGTAATAAAGACAGGAGAGCTTCGTTGTTCAATGCTTTTGTCTTTTCTTTCCTTTCTTTATCTTTTTTTCTATTTTCTTCCATTTCTATGAAATCTCTGCACATCTATTAACACTTTCCATTCAGAGTAGCTATACTCTTTTAACTTCTTCCCACCAGCTTATAGTCATCTGATTATTTACATTTAACCTCTCTCGTCTCCTTTTTATCAGTTTATTTTGTTAACAATATTTCTGATTTGTTCGGATTCCTGGTCATCCCATATAGTTGTCTGGTCACATTTTAACTGACCATAACTTAGGTTTACATGCAAAAATAAATTTTATATGTACTTTTTTTTAACAATACTTTGTATATGGATATAACCTTACTTCTTTTTTCTGTTATTTCTAAAACATGACCACGCCTCAATGGTGTAGCAGAAGAAGTGCAGATTTTCTATTCTCCCATACATATCTCCCACACTTAATTCACTATTCAACATTTTCTTGTTTTAAATCATAGAAAGCATGTCATTTACATATATTTCATATAAATTTTTTTTTTGTGAAAAAAAACAGGAGATCTACTTCACACTGCTATATATTTAGAACTGTTTATCATTTTTTTTTCTTATTTTCTTTTTATTTTATTGATAACTTTAACAATATAAAATATCATTGTATATTTATATAATGTGTATCTTGATTATAATATGTATTATACAAATATATAATAATATAGTTTAAATATGTATACTAATGGAAAAGAATTATATATCATTAAATTTAATGTTTTTATATTTTAATTTTAAAATTTCAATAACGGAGTTTTAGTATAATATATTGTTATTTATGTATTTTATTTATATATTATGTATTTTGATATATTTTATTGTATTCTATTGTATTGTTATAATATGTTTTATTTGAAATATTTTTACCATTTAAAACTATAGTAATTGTTTGATCTGTTTGATTTTAGTTTCTTATGCTTGATCTATATTTTTCCTATTTGATTTACTTGATCTATATTGTTACATTTGATCTGTTAGATCCGTTTGATCAATATCACTTGAACTTTTATCTTTCATAACCTTAATGTGAACTCCATAAAAGTAATACCAAAAAGTCATTGATACTCTTGGAAAAAAAAGATTCCTCAAACCTAACTTTAAGTTCAAATTGCTGAGATGATGAATATTAGTGCTATAATAGTTTAAGAATTTTTGGAACCAAAGCATTGAATACAGTCCACAAAAGACAAAGCTAATCCATTGACAAAAGAAAAAATCTTAGTGTAAACGACAAATTAATGAATTATGGAGAAACCAGCAGATGTTTTTTTCTTTTGTAACTTGAAACCAGCAGATGTTGATGAATCACCAAACAAGTTTAAGTTATTTTTGTCAGGACTACAGACAACAAAACCAAATGAGAGCGACCATTACAAAAATGATAAATCAATAATTTTCCAAACACGAAACATCATTTGATTAAAAAACTGAACTTATGGTTAGTGAATATTCACATTGATATAAATTAAAATAGAGACACCCTCCCCAAGTAATTGCCAAGACATTCATTACAAGACAAACGGGCGAGAGTCTTGGTCACGCACGCATCAATAAGCCAAAAGTTTGGTCATAAATAATTTGACAAGATGAAAAAGAAAACAAAATAATGGCATTAGAAAATGAATTTTTGAAAGATGCTAGGACTAAAAGTCAATGTTAATCGGAAACTTGAATTATATTCAGACTAATAACAACTTACCTGAAAAAAGTTTATCTATTCAATGTATCATTCGGTCTATATATAAAAACTATCAACTAGACAAAAGAGAAAGAATAGCTTTTCTGTGTTTTTCTCTAAGCCTCCATGTCCCTACCACTTGGCATCCAAAAGAAAAAGTATATAATAAAACAATCGCACATAAGCCATGGTTATAAATGGTATATTAAATAGAAATGTAGAAATATATAGAAACAAACATATGTAGACAAAAGAGATTGTTTTCTCTAAGAGGGGGTCCATGCATTGTGCTTATCCTCCCAAAGTTCATAACCACTACCAGGAAACACCAAAAATTCCAAATCAAATACATGCACATAGAAGAGGCAATAAGCAAAAGATGCCAAAGTAAACCAAAGGTGTTAAAAAGAGATAGAAAAAGAAAAAGAAAAATCCAATGTTGATTTTGACATTTTTGTCCAATCATTATTTAATATATTAATTTTGGTTGTGTAAGCTTTTTTCTCATTTGGGTGGATGGGGTTTGGCTTTTGCATTGTGAAGCTTTTGCCTCAAATGCACACACAACACTTGTCTTCTTTTTTTCTCTCACATTTATTTCCTCTTCTTTATATTTCACTCAAAGGCCCATTGCCACATGTCTCCCTAGGGTTTTCACTTAATCTTCTGTGTCTTTCTTTTCGTTTTATGTGTCTTTTTCACAATTATAGCAATAGTAGAGCAAATGCTTGGATGGTTCGAAGTTGGAGAACTTGTAAGAAAAAAAAAAGATGTCTTTTATAAAGGGGAAAACCTTCAACGCATGAACAAAAAGAAATAAGAAGGTGAAAAAAAAACAGCCTGAAAGACATGCTCTTTCTATTAAAAGCATGAGAACACAAAAGGTAATATAAACATTACAAATCCATTACCAAGGAAGGATAAGTTTTTTTCTCACAACATGTCAAAGACAAATTAGTTGTCTTGTAATTTGACTCTCTATATTCTAGAACCAATTAAAGACTACCTCCTATTCTACAAGGCAAAGTCCCATCTCTCGGCTAAGCCCTAACCGATAGATGCCGACAACAGAAATTGGTTTTTGCTTCCGGCGCAACCAACATCATACATCTCACAATAAGCCGGACTTATGATGATTCAGGAGACTAATAAAAAGACACAAAACGCAACCTAAGAAGAGCACTACACAATACTTGTGGAAACTGTACAACCCCCCTCCCCCATCATAGCTAGTGATCTTCTAATCTTCTTCTCTTTATGTATAGAACAACCTCATCATATTGCTACGGATCCAGAAGAATAGGAGATGACTTGCTTAGACTATCTTCATCTATGGAGTGCACAAACTTGGTTAACTCGTCCATAAGACAATGAAAGTGATCATTGTTAGGCAAGAAGTAAAACCCAATAGTAGCTTGCTTCAAATACAAAAGGTTAACATGGTGACCCGTCCTCTTAAGCCCATCGACATAAGCCAACTGCCAATCCTGAACAAGATCCAAACCAGCCACAACCACAAGACTCTTGGGGAAACTAACTCCTTCAAGGCTTTGACCACGAGGACCAAAGGGATTACAAGCAGGATGATCTCTATCTTCACCTTCAGGTAAATAAGCCCTCCAGTACCAATCCCGATCTTGAATAGTGACAAAGTATTTACCATCAAGTCTCTTCTCAGACTGAGTCCTCTCCATCCCACCAAACATAGGATGCAAAAGAATATTCCCAAGAACTTTAACTCCTTCTTTTGTCGCTCTCACAGCAACGTTATGAGCAATGTTACCACCAGAGCTATCACCAGCCAAGTAAACGTAAACATTAGAGTCTCTACCACTCTGGAGCCAGATTCTGGACTTGACCCATTTGAGAGCATTCCAGCCATCATCATAAGCACAAGGGTAGCGATGCTCCGGTGATCTCCGGTAGTCAACGGAGACAACAACGACGCCGCAGATGGAGACTAAACGGCGGCAGAAAGTGTCGTAGATGGCGCTGTTGGCGGAGGAGTGAGTGAAGCTGCCGCCGTGGAAGAAGACGAGAACGGGGACGATGTCGGTGGTGCTGAGAGGCTCGGTGAGGTCGAGGGAGCCGTGACGGGAGGGGTCGAGAGGAGCGGGTTGGTAGATTCTGGTGAGGAGGTTGGTGGAGGTGTCGACGTGGTCGAAGGAGAAGACGCCGTCGACGGGGAAGGAGTTGGCGGGGACTTTGCGGTCGAGAAACTCGGCGAGGTCGCGGTTGAAGGAGCCGTCGGGGCGGCGGAGGAGAGTGTAAGCGAGCTTGAAGTTGGAGATGAGGACCCATGTGTTCAGTGGCACTATTCTCTACAGTTAGATTACACAAAGATGTGATCTTTTCATCAGATGGGACGTTTTTTAGCTTTTTTTATTTTTAAATAAAATCAATCCGTACAAATGAATGAATCTATGGTGATGATGATTATGATGATCTTCATCGTCTCAGAGAATTATATTCGAAAATTTTGAGATGTACGAGGTTAATAAGGAACCCAAAATGATAATTAACACACCAAAAAAAAAGAAGAAGAAAAACAAAACGGAATCGTTTCGGTTGTTTACAAAGAATCAAAGGATGAATGGAGGAGGGAAAGAAGGAAGTACCTTGCATTCGTTTAGGTTGACTTCGTTTCCACCTGCCATAGTGTCTCAAAGGAAAATAGCAGAGAGCAAGCTGGCTGTTTTTTTTTTCTTTCTAAAATTAGAAATCTCTAACTTGAGCGGTGATATTGATTTCAGTGAAATTGCCTCCTCATACCATTTAAATCTCAGTAAGGGTATCTCTTCAGCTCCAGAAGATTAAGAAAGAAAGAAGGAAGAAGATATTTTGTTTTGAGACAACAAAGTACAAAGTTCTTCTTCTTCTGCAAGAGAGAAAGAGAGAGCTTTATCTGGTTCGTCCGTAGAGAAGGAGAGAGAGAGAGTCAAAGGTGAGAGAGATGTTGAAGATGAAATAACCCATCGGGCGGTGACAAATGGGCCGGACGACCTTTTATTATTATTACTGTTTCGATATGTGGGTCCCCCCTCCCCCCCTTCTCTCCACTTTTCTTTTATTAATACTATCTTTTAATTTCTCCTTTGTCGACGATGATAATGCCATTTTCATTTACTTTACTAATCAGCTTTTTAATTTCAGTCGGCTGATTAATTTTTTGTAAATAAATTTATTTATAACCAAAGTAAAATATACATAGTGTGTATTTATAAACAAGAGAGTTGGACACGGTGTCATGTGAAGAGAGAGATAGGATTGGCTATTGGCACGCCAGTCCTCCTGACACGCTCCCTCATGAGTGCTCCTTTTGACCACCTCCTTTTCCCCCCCCCTCCTTGCTAATATACTAGTAATGTAATGTTTAATTAGCTTCCCACCATTTGTGTTCAATTTTTTCATGTTTAATTGTGAAATACTACTCCTACTTCACTATTGATTAGTATCTTCCACCAGTAATCCCTCCCTCTTATGAGTTGGCAGATATATTATGTGTCTACTAAGTAGTATGTATATTATGAAAACTGAAATTGTTTTTGTCATTTTCTGATATTCAGTTGATCTACAATCATTTTGCACATCTATACTATATTTACAAGAATACTTGTAACCTTTCTATTACGTTCGAAGCTTTCCTAAATTTTATTATTTATTGTCTACATCATATACAAAGTTTTTTTGTCGTTTGGTTCTTATGTAATCACTTATAAAAAGACAATTTGCTAGCTATATTCGACCTAAGATAAAAACAAAAGTGGGAAAACACAAGTTCCACCAGAACATCATTAATTCATCATCTAATGGTATACCACATATAAAGTATGGTAATGCAGCTTTAAATTATTTTAAAGATACAGAAAACATTCATACAGTTTTGGATCTTATTAACAAAAAAACATTAGGATCTTGTTTTAAATTTGATGGTTGTGACTTATGATAGGCCGAAAGACAGAGAGAGGTTGTTTTGGTTTTTAGTTCTTTTAAATAATTATTATAAAATGTGAATGCAAATGGTTAGTAATAAAATATAAAAATTAGTTAGAAAGGAAGGTGACAAAAAACAAATAAACACTATACAGCGTGCGACCAACGCCATGGCATGTGGCGACAAAAGTGTGGTGTTGTTTTCTTTTGGTTATTAAAAACCCAAATCGTAAACTCCGAAAATGCCCTCGTCCGGTCTGCAAGATTACGAGTATTGCCACTCCTGACGAAACGTGTTCCGTTTTGGGCGTATGACATCATGCCTTTCGGGTCTTGGACCCAAGGCCTTTCAACGTTGGATTTTTGCTCATTTCAGTTACCTTTTATTTTTCTTTTACAAAACATAAAATTTAATTTATAAGATAATAATTGAGCGTACGAGTAAACTTATCGTATGTCGTTTTTAAAATTTGTACAAAAGCATTAACTGGAATATGTGTGTACAGAATTAATTTTAGCTATTTTATTTTTTTATGGCAAAAACAGCCATGTCATTTTGTAATTATGTTATGTTTTAAATAAACCACAACATTTTGGTGAAAACGACACTCCTCGGCTCGATTGTAAAAAAAAAAAAAAAAAAAAAAACCATCTACTAATTTTTCATTGTTTTATCTTTTTGTAGTTGGTTTTCCCAATTTGTTGAACCAAAAAAAGATAATATTATTAGATTTTTTGGTTTGTAAAATTTTATTTGGAATTTTGTCATGTTCGAAACAAGTCCTTTTAAATTCCTCAATGTAATAAAACAAAATAAATCTTGGAAAATAAATGTATCGGCCCCTCAAAATTCTTTGCTTGTTCTTTTTCTCGAAAGGGCCCATTAGGTAAAACGTGGGAATGGGCTTAGGATTTTGTCGTGGTGTGGAAAAAAGCGCGTGACGGTCACAGTCCTATAAATTTGACAAATAGTCAAAACCTTCTTACGACCCTTTTAGATGGATTCAATGCATTTAGTTAGGTGTTCTCAAGAAAATAATAATCTGTTTTATAGGGTGGGCAAGAAGTTAAACGAAAGAGAATGTGAACACTACTCTAGCTTTGATGGCTCTGCGCAGTAAAAGAGTGGTGAACCTCAACTATAACAACGTTAATATACAAGTTTTGTGTTTCGCAAGCGTTTCTGTCGATTTATAAGTTAGGCCCTATTAATATAACTTTGCTTTTTGGTGTATCTTTCGGATTTGACAAAGCGAGGAACCATGAATCTCTCTCGATGATGGGAATGGGACCAAAACAGTAGATCTCAGCCGTTGTTTTATCCCGATACAAACATGTATTACATGTGTTGATAACACCTAAAGCGTGTACTACGATAACTTGGACCGTCGATCTTCAACAAAGATATAAGAGCATCTCCATTAGTGAACCCCTATTGGGGTTCATATTTTTAATTTTTTATTATTATTTTTTTACTGTTTGCTTTTTTAAAAAAAAAAAAAAACTAATCGAACCAATGGGTGACCGACACGTGTCGTGAACAGTGTTGAATCCGTTGGAGAGAGGTTCACCGGGAAGAGCTCGGAAGAGATGGGATTCAACACTATTCATTATTTTAATATTTTTTTTTCTGGAAATCTGTGTGAACCCCATGAGGGGTTCACTAATGGGGATGCCCTAACGAATTGTTTGTCGTAACGTGAATGGAAGTGTCCACAAGATTAAACAATCTTTTCAAAGAACCTACAAATTTGTAGTATTTCTTTTGTTACCTGTAATTTAGTGGTTTTATGTTTTGTTTCCCGTGATTTTTATGTTATAAGGTAAGAACAAAAACGAAAATAATAATGGACGCAACTAAATGTAAATAAGAGAAAAGGAGAATAAAAGGAGAACACGCTAAGGTATATGGTTCGCGTGTCCATTTGAGGGCTTTCTTAGTTTTGTCGTCATCTGTTTTGTCTTTTCCATACGTGTGCTCTCCATTTTCCACTCCTTACTTTTGTTATTTTCTTTCCTCATTAAATAAAATTAAAAGTACAGTCAATTATTTATTTTCTTCCATTATCATTTACGACGAAATAATTCAAACTCAGTTAATCAAGCCGTGGAGGAAACATTAATAGTATTGATTACGTAACTAACTCTACACAGATATTAATTAGTGAATTTATTTGAAATAATGTAGTCTCCTACTACTCGGTGGAGATTACAAATACAATGAGAATTACAAAAAAAAAAGTTCATTTTGAAGTGCTTTCGATCTTTTTCGTAAGCATATGGACAGGCTAATAATGTGTGCTTAAACGAGCTTTAACTAAAGTCTTTCACACTATTATTTTTATATATTTTGGGAATAATTTTTCAAAAGTGGAAGAAGACGACAAAAGTATATCTTTTGCTTTATCCCTCTTAATTTGTCGTTTTTTGTCTTTAGAAGCAACCATCCAACATTTCAAATTTGGGCTTTTTTTAGTTGAAATAAATTTCAGCCCAGTCCAGTATATACAGTACTTCTCATATCTTATGTGCTCTAAGTGTCTCATTATTCACTTGGCAAGTGGGGATGTAGCTCAAATGGTAGAGCGCTCGCTTTGCATGCGAGAGGCACGGGGTTCGATCCCCCGCATCTCCATTCCTTTTTTGTTATAGAACTCTATATTTTTTCAAAAGAAAATAACTTGCCATGTTAAGGAGCAATGGTTTAGCAAGACAGGGACTTGAACACAAAGTGTCAAAGACTAACTATCACTGAATTCTTTAAATTTTCTGAATTCAAAACAAAGATTGGTTGTTTAAAGAAATAAGCTAAACGTTGTGTACATAAAACAAACCCCGAAGGATAAAAATATAAACAAAGCCAACTTATAAAGGAATACTGTATGTTCTAAGAAGTACTGGCCATAGAGTCGATGAGTAACTCATAGCCCTCGGGGACATGAGACTGAAGACGTACGCACTCAGCCAATGCAGGAACATCTGATGCAACGTCTAGAAACTGAGCCACAAAGAGAAGTAGATGAAAATCAGAGATCCTCTTCACAAACGGGAGGCTCCTTGCACGATCCATATGTGTTTTCAAAGCCTACACTGTTGTCTTAACGTTCCGGTTCTCTATCGGGAAAGTACAAGACAGCGATCCCTGTCACAAGTAATAGTACCAAACAAAAAGATTCCTTATGAATTCCAAAGTACATATCACTTGCGTTCTTCCTACTTAAGGTCAGAGAAACAAACCTGATGATCCAAGATCTTGACAACAACGAGGAAGAAATCATTATCAACTTCTTTAAGATCCTTAACACCAACAACCACCTCTTTCTTCATCTTAGAGAGCTTGGGATCATCCTCAGGTCCAATCTCAGTCTCAAACCACCCTTCCTTAAACAACCTAACACACATATCACTCATCTGAAACGCCTCAAAATGAACATCAGCACCACCACCACCGTCCTCATTAACCTCAAGCTTAACAACCGCCGTAACCCACTCCTTCAACTCACTCTCCGCGTGAAGCTCCGCAGCTAACAACACCTCAACATTAGACAAAGTGTACTCCTCCTTCTTGCCCTGCGCACTAACACTGATTAAATATAAACCCAACTCTCCTCATCCCCAACCCTAACGCGATCGCGTCAACACGCTTCTCCTCCTCAGCGTCTCTCATGAGAATCAGATTATCCTCCATCCCTTCCTGCGGCGGCTCATAGACGAAATCCACCTCAACCTCACCTCCCTGCGAGACGCTCCCGTAAATGAACCCGCCGCGTTTAACCGCAAACGCCAGCGACTCGTTGACGTAGCGTTGAAACGCGTTTGCGCAGTCGCGGTCGAAGGAGACGGAGTCGCAGTGAGACTTCTCCTGGCGAGAGACGCGCATCTGGCGCGCGATTAGGTCGTCGACGGTCATCTTCCTCCCGAAGGAGCCGGCGGGGGTTACGGCGGGGCCGCCGCGGATTGTGCGTTCGCCTTCGTGGGATAAGTAGAGGATAGATCCGTGGGAGAGGTTGAGAGAGGAGACTAGGAGGTTAGGGTTTGTCATGTCGGTGAAGGAGAGGAGATCGTCGGGAGTCTTTGCGAGGAGAAGGTTGCGATCAGTGGATAAGGTTTGGTTGTGGAGAGGGATCTGGAGTTGATCTTGGATTAGGGTTTTGAGTTGGGAGACTGTGATGTGAGATCTTTCTATGTTTACTCGCTCTAATTCATCTCTGCTTCGGATTCTAAGCATCACCATCGTCTTCCTCCGATGGGAATCTGAAAAGCTCTCTGAGAGAACACCGAGTTAAAGCAAGCGAGGAAGAATAGAAATGTTCAAAAAGCTACTGCTTTGACTTAAGTGGGCTTTAATTAATGGCCCAATATGCTCGATAATTCCGACCGTTTATTTTTGTCATCATATTCCGACCGGTTAACTATTGTGTTTGTCGTTTCTTTCCTCTTTCAAACTGGAAGCAGGAGTAAATACTATTCCCTCTTTCAAAATAATACATGTTGATCATCGTCAAAAAACTAGTGGCATAAAAAAAATATCATCACGAAATTTAACTATAGTTTTATTTAAATATAAATTTACAATACGTAATTAACTAGCTGACAAATCACATATCTATCACAGGTATTTAAGCAAAATATATTCGAATACAACAACACAAAATTAACAATTTGCATATTTTTAGCAGAAAAAAAAACAGTTTGATGCATATTAATTAAGAAGCCAAACAAGCTTCCCAAAACATTCGATCTTTTTCAATCTTCCTCCTCCTCATCAATCTCTCATCATTATTCCTTGTGGAGGACGAATCTACGCTCCGGATTTCATCTTCTCTCTTCTCCGGCCACCTCCCGTGACTATTCACCTCTTCCTCATCGTGTTCCTCTTTCTCTCCCTTGACTAGCTCTTCTTCCTCTTCTTCTTCATTATCCATCTCCACCGAGTCAAAACCAGCCGACCTACCCGTCACCTGACTCGTTGACTCGGCATCATTCCCATACTCTGTATCATCATCATCTCCCTCGTAGCCACCTTGATCTTCATGATGAGTCTCGGAATCTGCAGATTCTTCTAATAACAAGAATGGTGACACGTCCACAAGGACGTTGTTCTTCGTGTTCATATTTTGAGTTTATTTTGTTTTTTCTTCTACAATGACAAAATTAAGGACAATCACCAAACGTAATAATTTAGTTGGGGTAACCTATGAATCCCTCTTGTTTATATACCGATCATATATTAGACCAAAAGAAGATAACGTTGGAAAAACAGATTTCTTGGGCACTTTAATAAAGTGTTATTATATTGCATAATAATATATCCAAACAAACAAGCAAACAAAATAATGGATTGTGTGCTGCTTATGTGGGGTTCGACTCCACGGTTTCTAGAAGGGATGTCTATGCATCTGTTCTATGCAATTAGTGGTGCTTTATATATAATATATTTATACTAATGTAAACTACAAATACATTTTGTAACAGCCGAGCTAATCTAATTCATATTAAATACAAAAAACATATATAAAAGTTAGAAATTTTATATGTTTGAATGGATTTTTATAGATAAACAGAAAGTTTTGTATTCCTATAAACCAGAACTAAATAAATAAGAACCTTTTAAAATAAACACTTTTTTTGTCAACAAGTTTAAAATAAACCTACAATTCGGATTTGCTCTTTTCCACTGTTTCAACTTCCAAGTCTTCTAGAATGAAAAAGGAAAAGGAAGTGAATTGTCAATGTAAGTCCAAGTGTCAAAGATATGGGCGGTATCTTGTCTCAAGCATAATAATTTGGCACCACTCATCAAGTCATCACAAATCGTATTATCCCCTATATATTAATTGAGAAACATTTGAAAAGATGTAACCTCAAGTTTGTATTAATTAAAAAGTAATCTTGCTTAGTTGTCAATCAATTAGCATATCAATTAAACTGACGTGGCGGCTTTAGGTTCAATTGAAATTTGCTAGGGAAAAATAATTAGAGACACATATAACGCATGTAACATAGTTTATATATTTATATATATCGCACGCATGTAATGGAAGAAAAGGAAAATATACGATTTGATAACGATTTGCATATATTAACTATAATAACTTCATTCCTTTTAATTTATGGAAGTGTATATGTAAAATGGAAAATACTTAAATTCAAATAATCATAACGTAATTTATAAATCATTGGTNTAAATTTAATTATATATCATATACAATATATAAGATTGATTATTTTGATTTATTTACCCTAATTGTGAATAAACAAGAGTAATAGTTAAATTTATATGCATACGCCAATTTGTTACATAATAGTAATTGATTTCTTAGTTATTTAATATATATATATTTATTATTTTATTATTTATAATATGCAGAAAAATATAAAATATTTATTGTGCATAAAGTGCAGATCTTAACCTAAGTATTTATCTGTTTAATTATTTTAAAACTTAAATATTTTCTAAATTTCAGGTCAAAACAAACAAACGAAATGAGAATAAAATTCAAAATAAATATTTATACCGAGTAATAACCAAAATATAAAAAAACATAGCAAGAGAAAAATGGAAGATAAATAGGATTGACACGTGAACGTAAACTTCTCATAACTGGAAGATAAATAGGATTGACACGTGAACGTAAATTTCTCATAACCATAATTAATTTTTAAATTGTTAAATCATGATATAAAACTGAGTTAATTTTTAATTTGTTAACTTTTAATTTTTTTAATTTTTTAAATCATTATGGCTATATTAAATCATGACAATAATTAATTTTAAATTGTTTATTTGTATTCAAAAAACTTAAAATATTGCTTTTAAAAATAATTTTAAATTTAACATAATTTTTTAGAAAATTATTTTTTAAAAATATAATTTTAAAAAAATATAATTTTCTAATATTATTAGACAAATAAATAAATTATATTAAATTAGTTTAGAAACTTTTTATATTTTAATTGCAAATATTATACCAATTGCTTCTTTAAAAACACTAGGGAACTTGCTATACTCTACCAATCAAGCGCAGTGACACTCCATTTATTTTCCATCACTCGAACACTGAAAAGTAAAAAGATATATGAAATCAGATCCATTAAATTCTAAGATTTGATTTACATTTCTAATTAAAGTTGTTTTTGATCATACGTATAGATAATTATATAAAAATTCCAAAATTCTAAAATTTCAAATACATACAAAAACAATCATATGTAAATTTTAAANTCTAAGATTTGATTTACATTTCTAATTAAAGTTGTTTTTGATCATACGTATAGATAATTATATAAAAATTCCAAAATTCTAAAATTTCAAATACATACAAAAACAATCATATGTAAATTTTAAATTTGTGAATATTAAAATTTTATATTTTAATTACATATATTCACCCTGCGCAAGGCGCAGGTCTTATCCTAGTATTTAATTAAACCAGAAATTCTTGATAAATCAAAATGATTGTTTAATAGTTAGTACAATCAAACTTTACGTGCATGCATAATTACAACTTACAAGTGTGACATTGTGAGCCTATACACGAGTCATGTGGCTATATTATGGGTTATGATCAGGATTGCGTCGACACATGCAACAAACGTCATTTTCTATCTAGATTTGACCTGCCACTCGGAGCCGTACCTTCTATAAGGCAAGTGAAGCATTTTCGTTCAAGCCACAATAATATAATTTAGATTTGGCCACTCAGGGACTAATTAGCATCTCGCCCATAATCTAATGGCCCTTCACAAGGCCCGTATTTCTAAATCCATAGGAAGTTGTCTGATATCAGAAAGCTATCGGTGTTTTGATTGCAAGGCTTGGACTAATTAGCGAAAGTGGTAAAGACCAGAGGTTAGAGCATCAGCAGTGACTGATTACTTGAAAAGTCTCTCGCATAAATAATTTAATTTTGTTAACAAAATTTTAAAACAAAAAAAAAAAGTTTATTCAATATGAAGAGGACATTAAAGAGATACCTCTATTGTCTTCTATCATTTCTTCACTGAAACGATTCTGTAAGTTTGTCACTCTCTTTTTTTTTCCTAGTATTTTTTATTATTTTGATCCTAAGAATTCTATGAACATATTATCACTAGTGATGACCTTATTTATATAGATTAGACATTGATGGATTGAGATATTTTTTGGAAAATGGGTTTGTCTAATCAAAATTTAGAATAGTTAAATGGATAGTTGACAAAAAAAATCGCAATAATCTCAACATTGTAATTGGTATGCTCTTTCAACACATATTATTTAACGATTAGGTATCCCTACTAATCTTAAAGAGAGGTTATAACTGCAAAAGTGACTGTCAAAGTTAAAAGGAAGCAACCAATGAATTTTCAAGAAGTACGTATATATAGTCCTTGTGGTAATAAAGGGACTGAAAGTTGGACAAACAGAAAAAGAAATGAACAAATCAAAACAAGATTGATGTGGAACATGTAACTGGAACGGAGCAGAAAGTTGATATACTAACTAAGGTACTAACGAAGATCAAGTTTAAAGAAATGAAGAAGCAAATTCAAATTCTAAACTTAAACAAAGATGTTATGAAGTATAAAAGGGAAAATGTTGGATAAACTGTGAAGAAATTATTTAAGAAGAAAGTTACTCAAAAAAAAACTTATAGGATTAGGATGAAAGAAAAATTGCTAAATCATTATATATTACGTTAAAGTTAAGATGTCTAATAACTTTATATAAAGAGATATAAGTGTAAGATGACCTCATAAGAAAATAGAAGAAAATTAAGAAATATTAATAAAAACTAAAGCAACTGTTTTTATTTATTTTGGTGTTCACACAAACGTTCTAATACAAATACAATCTTGAGATTTTATAGACACGGTCCTTTAAAAGATTTAGATGTTAATGTTGAATATAGAAGATATAAGAGTTTGCTAGTTTTGTCAATATAAAAAGAGTTAGCTAATTCAAACCACATATTACATTGGTTAATAGAATAGCCGAATGAAATTATATTTTTCTTGATACTTCGGAAAGTACTAGTATATGGTAGTAGCCGGAATGCTTGGACTACAGTATTATCTTCTCCTCGAAATGATGTGATGCGTAACCAACAAACCTGAACCATCCAATTATCAAATTTTAAAAACAACAATGAAAACTATTGTTGCGTGACGTCTATTTGCAATATGTAAAATAAAATAATACAGAGAAAAGGCAAAAATAAATGCGTAAAATGTTATAATCAAGATCGTGATTTGGAGGAGCACGAGATCGTTGAATTAGAAAGCAAAGATATTAGGTATATAATTGGTCAGATTTTGACAAATCATATAAGGATATAGGGGAAAATGAGTTTTTAATTCCTCAACTATTTTAAATTAGTGTTTTTAATACCCAACTTCAATCTGCGCAGATTTAATCCTGAAGTTAATATTGACCATGCAAAATTAAATTTTAATAAGTCAGACGTTAACTCTTCGTTAAAGACGTTAACTCTAATTAAAAAGGTGATTGTGTTTGGTCTTTGAAAACCCAGAAATCCTTAATATCAACTTTGAGAGCAACTGAAAAAGTAAAGGCAATTTCCGGCGAGTGGAGAAGGAGATAAGCTCGTGCGGTTATAGATTCTTGAATGGAGTTAAGGGATTCCAAAGAAATTTGGTTGTGAAAGTGATGTTAGGACGTAACTTCTCAGTTCTGAACGTCCCTATTTTCGTTGTAATACGTCCCGAGAGGTAAGCTTATTCACATGATGGTGTGTTTTCTTATTTTTGATGCTCATAATCTTAAATATCTCTAATGTTTATATACTTTAGAATGGCCAGCTGTTGGCGTGGGTGGAGATAGCAAGTATAAAGAAGTGAATGAACTAATGATTGAGAAGGCCAATGTTCAAAAGAAGGTTATAAAATGCAAAAGAGAGCTTGGAAAATACAAATAGTGCATGTCGGCTGTTTGGTTGTTTTGGTGTGTAGTCTTTTATCACATCATTTTTCATAAAAATGGAGTTAACTAACTCTCTTGTGTTTGGTCACTAATTGTCCTATGTGTTACTAGAAAATGAGACAATGTAATAGACAATGCATGAGATGTTGGTTTTTAAGATAAGAACATGAATTGCTTTTAAAAATAGGAGAAGTTAAACAAGCATTGAGATCTTGTAATAGAATAGTTAAACACCTAAATCATGTTTAAAGATGGAACCAAAATAAACCCGAGACATTACATGTTTTCTAATAAAAACTGAGTTAACATCTTTTATAAATATATCCGAGACACTGAATCTTATCAAAACATGATTCATTGGTTACAAAATAATCTGAAGTGAAACATGAAGAACACAAGCTACTAAGAGAATAACGGATCCGGAATGTGATCATCGTCCCAAATATCATCGCCACTGTCATCGTTAGCATCATACAAACTATTTTCATCTTCTTGTGCAGCGGCTTCAAAGTGAGAAGATAAGCCAGCCTCTCCAACCTCTACTTCGAAGAACTCATTCTCCTTATATCCAGCCATATCTTCAATTATAACCTCACAGTCATCTCCCTCAACAGATGAAGAAGAATCTGACTCTACAATTGCTTCTTGATTCACATAGTTTCCACCATCAGTTCCTTCTTCATTATGTATCTCTTCTCCATTATGTATCTCTTCTTCTTCGATAACATTAGTTACTTCTTCAATAATAACATGTCTATAAAAAAAATTTAACATACTTATATGAAAAAAAAAAGAATTACAGAGTTAAAAAAAAATATTACAACAGAGCTTAAGTTTTACCTTTCAGTCTCTGTGGAATTGGAATTTTGGGTTCATGTGCTGTCCTACGAGTTGGAAGTTTATTTTGTTTTCCACCATGATTTCCTAAGAACGTTTTCACCATACTCTGACTGAAGTTGATTTTTGTTTACTGGGAATCGCTTGCTCTCTGTCGGAATGGCTCTACAAAATCAATTGCAGTTTTAGGGTTCCTGAGTTTTGAAAGAAAAAGTCGACGTTTTCTCTTTTCTAATTGCAATTAACGCTTCTGTTTAATAGTTAACGTTTGACTAATTAAAGTCTAATTGTGCATGGTCAACGAAAACTATGGGATTAAATCTGCTCAAGTTAAAGTTGGGTATTAAAAACACTAATTTAAAACAGTTTGGGAATTAAAAACCCTTTTTCCCAAGGATATAGAGAAGATAACAATCAAATAAAAAGCGAAAAAGGATGGCTTCCACTAATGGTGAGGTAATCAACATAATCCATGTTAGCTTTCCATCACGTGCCAGTATGCCACTTTACTTGTACACCACCTCTCACTAATCGCATTATCACTCATTATGAATTTATAATGTATGTTGTACTTATACACATATAAACACAGTCAGATTTGATATTGCTAAAAAAGATTAAAAATAATTACGGGGATACTTAATATTCATACAGCAAACTGCAAGCTAGTTTCAGTTCGAAACCGGAGGAGAGATAACTAAGAGAGATTCGCGGGGGGAGCCATGCGTGGGATTATTATTCTAGTCATATCCTTACAGATAAATAATCAGTTGATTATTAAAGAATCGATGACCACTAAAGTCCAATTAATTAGCTAGTTCCCTTTTTCTGACGACACTAATTAAATGATAATCCTCACGTATTACGTGCAAGCCAACTCAGCTCACCACTTCTCCATCTGACTCTCCAATCCTTGTTATTCCTAATTGCATCTTTCTTTTGTTTATTACAGGCTTCATGCTTTTCTATGCCGAAATGTTTAATTCAAATAACAAACTGAATATATTTGAACCAAATAATATATTTTCCAAGGAAATAATGGTACTAAAAATACATACAAAAAGCCAAAGGTGGCAACAAATAATATAATAGGTTTAGTGGATTAACGGTCATGACCGTATCAAAACATGAGATTCAATGAGGAGCAAATACACTGTTGAATCTGTCACAGACCTATCTAGTCCATGCTGAGACTGTGCAAAGCCCATCCATCCATCATAATACACTGTTCCCATCATAATTGACAGTTTCACCCTTCTTTCGCTACAGATAAGCCTAGGGTATTCTCGTCAAATCTTATTTATTTACCATTTCTAGCGATTAACCCAATGTACGTGCGACACGGCCCGAGATAATTTATTTTTATCTAATTTTACACCTCCGACGAGGTATTCTCAAAGAAATGGTAATTTTATTGTTAATCACCATGGTTTATGTGTCCGTACACTGTAAAAGAGGGTCCCATATCTGACGGTCGTGATTAAGATGAGACGCTGCACTTTCTTCGTACTTTATTCAAATTTTGAGTAACCATTCTCTCTTTCTCTTACTTTTATTTTTTTCAACTCCTTTTACTCATAAAGTTATACCACAATAAACTTTTAATAATTGGATACTTCCCTCACATACCTAACTCTTGCTGCAATGATTTCCAAAATTCTTATACTCTCACACCAGAATGTGAAATAAGCAATTGTAGTTGACTTTAAATTTCATATTACCTTGGAGATTAGTACACACAGTAAGTAGGTCGATTTTGTTATATGATTTGAAATGTTCATTAAGTGGAGGGGGGGGGATTAAATAAATTAAAAAAATAAAATAAAATTTGTAATAGACACAGTACGTTGGAGATGGTCAGATTCCACTTAAAAACATGATTAAACGGTTCTGATGTCTATCATAATTAACCCTGGCATTCGTCTTACCGTCAGATCATTGATCTCCCATTATTACTGAAAAAAGTTTTTATTTTCACATTCCGTTGTGGTCCCATCCCTGGGACTTTAACCTCATATCATTAGATTCCCTCATGCCCATACACCTTGCCGCAGAGTAACACTCCACTCTCTCTACTCGCGATTATTAGAGCATCTCCATTGTAAAACTCTATTTTTCTCTTCAAAATGGAGTAAAAGTGATTATGGAGTGAAAATGCTCCAAACTCACTCTATTTCCACCTCCATAATGGAGTAGTGAACAAAGAAAAAATAAATTACTCCATTTATGGAGTAAATCTCATTATGGAGTAAGATATGGAATGGGATTGGAGCATATTTTACTCCATAATCACTTTTACTTCATTTTGAAGTAAAAAATGGAGTTGGGATGGAGATGCCCTTACAGAACCGCGATTAAGCCCACTCCCTCCAATCTACCGTCCGGATAATCTCCTGCTTTTATTACATCCAACGGCTGTCTTAGAATATTAAAGAACACGTGTCAGGATCGTATTCGCCAATTCACAATCACCGAAAAGCCCTCACATGGAGATGTTTGACCATGGTTAACATCTAACCGAACCAGAGTTGGCCTTTAACTGGTGGACATTCTCTCTCTCTCTCTCTGCTCCTTTTTTCAATCTTCCTCTGAGCTTCACAATCTAGTAATCTCCGTTAATGGCGCTTCAGATCTAACACACCTCTCATATTTAAAACTCTTTTTGATTTTCTCACCGAGATCTCTAGTGTTTCTTTTCTTACAACGCAAAATGTATAAGCGAGTGGTCTTGTCGTTTCCAGAAGAAGTACTGGAACACGTGTTCTCGTTTATACATCTAGACAAGGACAGGAACTCTGTCTCTCTTGTCTGCAAGTCGTGGTACGAGATCGAGCGTTGGTGCAGGAAGAAAGTCTTCATCGGTAACTGCTACGCCGTCAGCCCCGCGACGGTGATTACGAGGTTCCCGAAGCTGAGATCCGTGGAGATTAAAGGGAAGCCACACTTCGCGGACTTTAATTTGGTGCCGGAGGGATGGGGAGGAGACGTGTATCCGTGGATAGAGGCGATGTCGACGTCGTACACGTGGCTGGAGGAGATTAGGCTGAAGAGGATGGTTGTGAGCGACGAGTGTTTGGAGCTTATTGCAAAGTCGTTTAAGAATTTTAAGGTTCTTGTGCTCTCTTCTTGCGATGGCTTCTCCACTGATGGTCTTGCTGCTATCGCTTCCAGTTGCAGGTATCATCTCCCTATAGCAGTGAGCTTTAATTCATATATGTGCTAACGTTACTCTCTTTGTTCATTGTGAATCTGATAGATGTTTGAAATGATGGTTAGGAAGATTCTTATTTTTTTAAAAACTTTTTTTTTGGGGTCAATTGTATCTCTCAGTGAATCTCCTGAGGTGGCAAATGTAGTCAATTTGGACCTTTTGCCCAATCAAAAACATCTTATTCTGTTTCTGATTCTCTTGCTTTTAACCCTCTTTTTAACATCTGCTTCTCTGTGGATACAATTAGTAATTTATAACTCTTCTGTTGTTAGATAGTCTTCCAAAACTATCTACCTATAGCTGTTATAGCTATTAGTAATTAATAATTTTGGAACATTTCACTTCATTTTAATCCTTAAACCGTTAAATGCTTGATTTTATATGTTTTTCTACTTGATTTTAACTTTATTTGGCATTTTATTACTTTTTCATGTATCCTGGTCTTGGTTTTATGATGTGGGGCAGTAGGTTTATTTGATTTCTAATTTATATGATTCTTGTGCAGGAATTTGAAAGAGCTTGATTTGCGTGAGAGTGATGTTGAGGATGTTAGTGGACACTGGCTTACCCATTTTCCTGATACTTACACTTCTTTGGTTTCACTCAACATCTCTTGCTTAGTCTCCGAGGTCAGTTTCTCTGCCCTGGAAAGGCTGGTTTGTAGGTCTCCCAACCTCAAATCTCTCAAGCTTAACCGAGCTGTTCCTCTTGAAAAATTGGCTTCTTTACTTCAAAAAGCACCTCAACTGGAGGAATTTGGCACCGGTGGGTACAATTCTGAAGTGCGTCCAGATGTGATCTCTGCTTTATCTGTAGCTATCTCTGGCTGCAAGAAGTTGAAGTGGTTATCTGGGTTTTGGGATGCTCTTCCTGCCTACCTTCCTGCAGTTTATTCGGTTTGCAGTGGCCTTACAACACTGAATCTGAGTTATGCCACAGTCCAGAGCTATGATCTTGTCAAGCTTCTTAGTCAATGTCCTAAACTGCAGCGTCTCTGGGTGAGTAGTTTTATTAAAATTTTTACTGTTACATATCTCAAATATATGCTTCTAACGTTTTCTTTAATTGGTACTGTGACTTATTGGCGCAGGTGTTGGACTACATCGAGGATGCTGGTCTTGAAATGCTTGCTTCAACCTGCAAGGACCTCAGAGAGCTGAGGGTGTTTCCGTCTGAGCCTTTTGTTATGGAGCCAAACGTTGCATTGACAGAACAAGGGCTTGTCTCTGTCTCCGCAGGCTGTCCAAAACTCGAGTCAGTTCTCTACTTCTGTCGTCAAATGACCAATGCTGCGCTGGTAACCATTGCTAGGAACCGTCCCAACATGACTCGCTTCCGTTTGTGCATCATTGAGCCGAAAGCCCCTGACCATCTGACTCTAGAGCCGCTGGACGTAGGATTTGGAGCCATTGTAGAACACTGCAAAGATCTCCGGCGGCTCTCCCTGTCAGGGCTGTTGACAGACAAGGTCTTCGAGTACATCGGGATGTACGCAAAGAAGATGGAAATGCTGTCAGTAGCGTTTGCAGGAGACAGTGACTTGGGGATGCATCATGTTTTGTCAGGGTGCGAGAGCTTGAGGAAGCTAGAGATAAGGGACTGCCCCTTTGGAGACAAGGCGCTTTTGGCAAATGCTTGGAAGCTGGAGACAATGCGATCTCTTTGGATGTCTTCGTGTTCCGTGAGTTATGGAGCCTGCAAGTTATTAGGACAGAAGATGCCAAAGCTCAATGTGGAAGTGATCGATGAAAGGGGTCCTCCTGACTCGAGACCCGAGAGCTGCCCTGTTGAGAGAGTGTTCATATACCGAACAGTGGCTGGTCCTCGGTTTGACATGCCTGGTTTCGTCTGGAACATGATGGACCAACAACACTCACTCAACCATGAGGTTTTCCAGGCAAATCATCACTACTAACGGCGGGTCATAAAAACAAAAATAAACGAGAGGTACATTTTCTCTCATTAAAACAAGTTCATTATCTCCCATATTGAATTGTTCCAGTTCAGGAACACGAGATAGAGAGAGAGCTCGGCCTCCATTAATTTAATTATCGGTCTGCTGCTTCATGTAAGCAAAACCAAGCTCAGGATCACTGAATAAGTGAGGAGAGAGAGAGATCTGAGAGACCTTTGTATTTTTATATAACAGTCTGTATGTTTGTTTGTCTACTTAGAGAGATGATAATAGATTTTTTAAAAGACAATGTCCAAAATGTTGTTCAATTTGTTAGAATCTACATTTTTTAATCATTTTCAAATGTCTTTTTTTTATCTCATCAATCTTTGCTCATGAAAGTTCATGATTTTATTATCCCATTCAAACAATGAAAACGGGGTTTGCGTTTTCATTACACCACATGACATTGGGATTAATACTTTTGAGCATATTACAAAAGATGTTTGTACATGTTACAAGTAAGGACAATACAATCTCTGCCATTTCAGAAATAGATGAAGATGAATTCTCGTCTCTGTTGTTTTCTATCACAAATTCACCATCTGCAAAACAATAACAGTAGTAGACCAATGATTCAGGAAACCAAATAGTAAATAGAGCGAGTATGATCACTACAGTTTATACACGAACCTTGCAATGCATAAGGATAGTCAAATTCCTGTGAAACCTGAAGAAAAAAAAAACATATAATTAGCATGAAAGTGCATAAGCTAAAGAAGATCAAACAAGTTGGGTGACTAAGTTAAAGAAAAACAGATGCAGAGGAATATATTTACCTTTGATTTTCCCACCTCGTGCACGCTTATTTAATATATGGAGTGGCACATCCATGAACACCTAACAAGAGAACGTAAGGTTTAAGTTTTAATTTTGATTCTGGATTCACATATATGGATTTTGCAAACACCTCCATAAAATCTCCTGGTGGTAGCAAAGCGTTCCTTTTGGTAAGGAGAGATGAGACTAGCAATACAGATAGATCAGCAAATCATTTAGCGACTTCACTAACTCTACGAGTGTCTTCAGCTTTGAAACTAAGATCGCTGATTTAGACCATGTGGAAACATTGTCGCCATATGAAAGGCTTTCCACGGTTCTACAAAGCTCAGCTAATGAGCAAATGCCCAACTACTCTTCCCTGAAAAAGTAGAAACATTAAAAACTATCCCAAGTAATCAAGTAGGAACTTAAGAGAGAGAGAGATCAATAACAACCAAACCTGAACGACTTAAGCTAGTAATACAAATGACGCAACCATTTGCTGAATCTCTCTATCTTAAGTTCCTAATTTCAGTACCATACAATCAATGATAAACTATAACACATACCTTGTATGAAATTGAGAAGAGAGGTCGACAGCATCTTCTTTAAAACCCCATATCCAGATAAGCCTTCACCGTCAAGTTCGATAGCACAGCATCACTGATTCCTAACCTGACATACACGAAAACAAAAAAAACAAGAAACACGCAAACAAAAATACGAATGGGGAAACTCTTAATTACCAAACTGATTTTGAGTGACTAAATGATCACAAAGTGTATAAAGGCAAATGACTGCATTTCTATTTGTTTCACACATTCTGAATTTAGTGTCCACCAATCCAAAAAACTAGAATTTGATACTGGTTTTGAGTGACCAAATATGACAAATGTGTAAAGACAAACAATGAAACTTAACAATCTCTAACAGACATATTGACTGCGCTGCATTTCTATTTGTTTTACACACTATAAATTTAGTGTCTACCAATCCGCTTATCTAGACAATCACGGTTACTGGTTTTGAGTGACCAAATATGACAAATGTGTAAAGACAAATGAAACTTAACGGACAAATCAAAGACTGGACGCTGCATTCTATTTGTTTTACAAATTATGAAAATTTAGTATCTATCAGTCCAATAATTTAGAATTTCCCCAAAAAAAAAAACAGAGAAGAAAGAGAATTCCATACCTTACACGGCTGAAGAAAGAGGATTCCATTTTCTTACTTCCTGTGAAGCTCACCTACAAAGCAGAAAATAAAGACATCAAGAGGAAAAAATTTGAATCCAAAAAGTGCAGTACGAAAATAAAAATCTTTGAATTCAAACTATACAATACGATTCCTAAGGTATTTAATTATCATTTATGTCATTCAACTTCTTGATTAATTCGATAATAAAGTAGAATATGTAATTTGGTTTGGTAAAACTAGACTTACCATATATTTATTAAAAGCTTAAGTCTTAATTGTGATAAATATAAAAAGCAAAGTTTTAACTATCATTACTTATTTATTTATTTATTTAATCTTTCTTGTTCTAATTGTGATAAATATAAAATCCAACCTTTGTATTGGATCTGTGCTCCTCTATTTCCTTCTTCTGGCGCTTTAACAAAACAGCATCAGTTGATATCTGCATCATAAACACAAGAATGGATAGGTTATTTAGTTTTGAAACATGACCATCTTATATACCAAACTTAATCAGGAAGTATGTCACAAAGATAAGAAGAATAAGCATTAGTGATACGTAGTGCTCGGCTAGCAAACTGAAGACTGCTCTTGGTTTCATCTGCATGGATCTGAAATTAAAACTAATATAACAGTGTTAGTTCATCTCCTTGCTTATTCTCATGCTATAGTATTGGTGATCAATACTGCATATGATAGCTGTATTTGCATTTCCACCTAAAGCTGGTTGCAGGATCCTTGTAAGCTTGCTGTCTCGGTACGGAACATGACCACTGATTCAATTCAAGAAGATGTCAATAAGAGACATTACACATAATGCTTTTTAACGTAACAAAACGAGACCAAAACTTACCCTTGTTTTTCAACTCCTTCACTCAGTTTTTTAATTACAGTCCCGAGTGTCATCAAACTCTTATTTATATCTGAGCCTTCCTTCAGCCTAACACCCTCTGCATCCGTTTTTGAAGCCCGTTCCGAACCAGCTAGATCCACTAAATTCACACAAGTAAAGAAAAAAGAAAGATGAAACACAGAATAACATGGTGTATATGAGGAGAAGGGAAACACTAGCAGATAGTACCAGAACAGAAACACGGACTGCATCATAGGCATTTCCAACACATTCATCTGGAGTCTTCTGACTAATTTCTATAATCTGTTGAGCAGCACATTCAACTGACACATAATTGAGCAGCACTAAGGTTGAGTATAATTTACCATGCGGAAAATAGTGTGAGATCTGCTACTGTGAAGATTCATATTTGTCTCCCCAATATGCCGATGAGCTGAAATGAATAACCATTCACTAAATCAGTGACTTCGACAGGAAAAAAGGAATGTATTTGCAGAGATATACAAAAAAAAAGAAAACTCTTTGTTTGGGAAGAGAAGACTACATTCTCCAAGTTCCATGAATTCAAGGACTTGTTGAGGGGAAGCAACAATTTCTTCTCGTAGACCAGCCACAAATATTCCTTTCTACAAACATTTTAAGATTGAACAAAAAATTAAACCGCATCAGCTCAGACTCTCGCGAGATAGAAGAAGATTATAAGAAGATATCTATATAATATAGATATGTTGTACCTGTAGATTCTCATGAATCTGGAGTTTTTTGCGGTGTTGAGGAGCCAAGAGATCGTTTATATCTAATTAAAAAACTCCATGCTTGCATCCTTGTGGAAAAGGAAAAACCTCTAATTAAAAAAAAAAACTTTGCACAAATGGTAAGAAAAGTGAACCCTAGTACCTGATATATAGTGCTAAACTCCTGGTTCAGTTGGTGAGCCTCGCATTGTATGTGTCTTGCCACTATTAGTTTGCCCATAAGCAAACACAGTTCCTTCAAAACGAAACGAAGGACAGAGATACGATTATATTATTATTGTATATAACTAACTCTTCAGTATAGGTTGGTTAATTGATGTTTGCAAATAAACCGGTCTATTTACTTTCGGTTAAGTCAGTCGGGTCATGTATGAGATCAATTAATTAATTAATTAATGAGACTAATGATGTTTACTCATCCTAGATTAGCGCGAAAACGACAAGAGGCATGAGAGATATCAAAACTGAAGCGAAAACCCAAAGTAAGTAAAATCAGCTCAGAGAGTAAATTTGTTACCGTTGAATACACGAAGGGCAGCAGACACGATATGCTTGGTTCGAGCTTCATACAGTTTTACAATCCTCTCTGAAAATCCTATATGCCGTTGCCAGAGAGAGAGATTGAGCATAGAAAGTTTTCAGAAAAGATGGATATAGAGAGAGAGAGACGAGTGAAGAAGAAGAAGAAACGTACCAAAGTTGAATGAGAGATGAGAAAAGTGCTGCCTGGGGCATGAAAATTGAATCTGAAGAGATCTTCCATGGACTACTTGCCTTCGCGACGAGGTCGGACTGACACGTGTATTCTCTCCCGAGATCTCCGCCATATGAAAGGAGGCTTTCCACCGTTCTACAAAGCTCTCAGATACATGCCCAAGCCCAACTAATTACTCTTCCCTTGAAAAGATTAAAAAAATATCTCAAGTAAGTAATTAAGTAGGGACTTAAGAGAGAGAGAGAGACCACAACGAAACCTGAAACTGAGAAGAAGAGATGCAGAGGAATCAGAATCTCACGGCTGAGATGCACACCTGAGATGCATGTGGAGTGTATTGTCGTTTTAGGTCATGGGCCTAATGGGTTTGCAAGTTGGTTATTGGGCTCTCGGCTTATTCGTTTGGGCTTAAAATGCAAGTGGCATTTGGAGTCCAGAAACACGGGATAGTACATTCCGTTAAAAGAGTGTTGTCCGTTAACTAACAACCAAACGGTAACGACTAACAACCATCATCATCTTCTTCGTTCATTATATAAAACAGAGAAGCTACAGAAGAAAGGATCTACGGTTTTACAAGGGAGAGAGTCAAGGAAGCTACCAAGTTGGAGGAGAAAGCTTGATCAAGAACAGAGAGATCAAGGTGCGGTCAAGCTCTTGCGATCTTCAGCTTTCTCCATATCGCTCTGCGTGTTCTCTTCAGTATCAGAGGAATCGGAGGCTGATAGTGAGTCGTCTTCTTCGCAGAGATCTTGGTATTCTTCCTGGAAAACCTCTCTGTACAAGCTCTTGTAATACCTGCACAAGTGAGTGTAAAAGATCGGTTAAGATCAAGCTATTGTATCAAATCGATATAGTAGTGGAATCATGAGAGTTTAGTTCTCTCTCCAGTCATTAGGCAACGAAGACTGGGTCAACAAAATCTCTGTGTTCATTTGCGTTTTGATTGATCCAAGTAGTATCACTTGTTAGTATACATTCATCAAGATTCAAAGAACTTAGGGATAACTTGATAAGGAAGCAATCGAACCTAGTTTGATACCTAACAAGTGGTATCAGAGCCAGGTTCTCGGTTTAGAGAACTAGGTTTGTTCAGCGGTTAAGCTGTGATTGTGGTTGGAAGTTATCTGTGTTTGTGGAATTGCTGTTTGTGAAGTGTGTTAACTGCAGTGATAGCTATGGAGTCAGTTCATGGCAAGTTTAAGATGGAGAAGTTTGATGGTACGGGTGATTTCGGTATGTGGAAGTTCAAGATGTTAATGCAGCTTGAGCTGCAAGGGCTGGGACACATTTTGGCTGAGGAAGAACCGAGCTTACCTAAGGGGGAAACTGATGAGGATGAAGATGTTGAGAAGGAAAAGGAAACCAAGAAGGATAAAGATCCTTTATCCAAAGAGAAAGATACTCGAGCAAAGAACTTAATATGCTCAAGTCTCACCAACATCGTTCTCAGGAAAGTAATGAAAGAGACTACTGCTAAGGGAGTATGGAAAGCTCTGGAGAATGACTATCAAACCAAGACTTTGCCTAATCGCATCTATCTAAAGCAAAGGTTTGCTGGTTACAAGATGGATGAAGGTAAAAGTATTGAGGAGAATCTCGATGTGTTCCTAAAGCTAGTAGATGATCTGGCAAGTCTAAACATTGAAGTTTCAGACGAAGATCAAGCCATCCAGATTCTAACGAGTCTACCTCCTCAATACGATTCTCTAGTCCATACTTTGAAGTATGGAAATGGCAAAGAGACGTTGACAGTTAAAGAAGTGACTACTTCTGCTTATGCAAAGGAGGCAGAGTTAAAGGAGAAAGGTCTTCACAAACGTCCTAAGTCAAACGCAGAAGGTCTGGTGGCTACTAGAGGGAGAAGTGAAAAGAGAACAGGAAACTCAGGAAGGTTTAGGTCTAAGAGCAAAGACTATCGATCTAAGTCTAAGGGCAAAGGTCAACCTAAACCAAGAGAGTGCTGGGTTTGTGGCAAGGAGGGACATTTTAAAAGAGAATGTTCGGAGAGAAAAGACAACAAGTCTAACGACACAGCTAATGTTGCTCAGGATAAGGAGTTCCCTATGATACTTACTGCAAGTGCTCATGATACGAGGAAGGAATGGGTTCTTGACTCAGGTTGTACGTTTCATATCACACCAAACAGAGATGTACTGTATGATTTTGAAGAAGTAAAAGGTGGAAGAGTGCTTATGGGTAACAATACATTCAGTGAAGTTAAAGGAATTGGAAAGCTGAAAGTTGTGAATCCAGATCAGTCTACAGTTGTTCTAACGGGAGTTCGCTATATGCCAACGATGGGTAGAAACCTCATATCATACGGACAGCTGGAAAAGAGTGGGTGCAAGTATACTGGTGAAGAGTTCAATGTGGTGTTTACTAAGAATGGTAAAAAAGTTATTTCAGGGAAGTATAAAGATGGGTTATACTATTTGGAAGGTTCCGTTGCGAAGGCTGAAGTAAACGTTACTCGGGTAGAAGAAAATCCTACAAACTTGTGGCACTCTAGGCTGGGTCATATGAGCTTAAAGAATATGAATATTCTGGTTAAGAATGGTTATCTAAAGGATAAGGAGGTTCACACGTTGGATTTCTGTGAAGACTGTGTTCTTGGAAAAGCTCACAAGCTACCGTTTCCTACAGCTAAGCACACTTCGAAGGAAATACTGGCTTACGTTCACAGTGATTTGTGGGGTTCGGTTTCTAATGCTGAAAGTTTATCAGGTTGCAGGTATTTTCTGACACTAATTGATGATTTCTCAAAGAAAGTTTGGATTAGATTCTTGAGGTCTAAAGATGAGACTTATGAGAATATTGCTGATTGGAAGAAGTTAGTAGAAACTCAGACAGGAAAGAAGGTTAAGTGCTTGCGCACTGACAATGGGTTAGAGTTCTGCAACAATCAGATGGAGTCAATGTGTAAGGAAGCTGGGATTAAGAGACATCGGACCTGCACGTATACTCCACAACAAAATGGAGTGGCAGAAAGGATGAACAGGACTATTGCTGATAAGGTTCGTTGTATGTTGGCTGAATCGGGTTTGGAAAAGAAGTTTTGGGCTGAGGCTGCATCTACGGCTGTCTACTTGATAAACAGGACTCCAAATTCGTCAATTGAGTTTAAAATTCCAGAAGAGGTTTGGTCTGGGGTTAAGGTGGAGTTTGGTCATCTCAGAAGGTTTAGTTGTGTTGCGTATGTTCATACTGTTCAAGACAAGATGAGTCCTAGAGCTATTAAAGGTATATTCATGGGTTATCCACAGGGAACTAAAGGCTATAGAGTTTGGTTAGCTGAAAGTGGGAAGTCTACGATTAGTAGGAATGTGGTCTTCAATGAAAGTGTTCTGTACATGAAGGATAAAGGCAAGGAAGTTGAATTTGAACCAAGAAAGAAGCGTGTATCGTTTAAAGAAGGTTTGGTTCAAGGTCCTACTCAAGGAAAGTCTTCATTTGAGGTTGGTTCTACATCGGGTACTGGTCAAGGTGGAGTTGTCTCAGGTACGAAAGAAGAATCAGATTCAGATGATAGTGATGAAGACTCGGAGAGTAAAGCAGAAACTCAGACAGATTCTTTGAGTGATTATCTTCTAGCTAGAGATCGTGTTAGAAGAGTTACAAAACCTCCAGCCATATTTGAAAGTGGAGATTTTGTTGCGTATGCTCTTTCGTGTGCGGATGACTTGAACATTGAAGAGCCAAAGACAGTGGCAGAAGCTAAGAGGAGTAAAAACTGGGATAAGTGGAATGCGTCCATGAAAGAAGAGAAGGCATCTTTGGATAAGAATCACACTTGGGATATAGTTGATAGACCTCCTAGACAAAGGGTTGTTGGTTGTAAGTGGATTCTAAAGCTTAAGGAAGGGATTCCAGGGGTTGAAGCACCGAGGTATAAGTCGCGTTTGGTTGCTAAAGGTTTTACTCAGGTAGAAGGTGTTGACTACAATGAGATTTTTGCTCCAGTGGTAAAGCACGTTTCTATAAGGATTATTTTGTCCTATGTGGTAAACGTTGATGCAGAGCTGGAACAAATGGATGTTAAAACGGCTTTCCTACATGGGAATTTAGATGAAACAATCTATATGGAGCAGCCAGAGGGGTTTGTTAAGAAGGGAGATGAAGGGAAAGTTTGCTTGCTCAGGAAGTCTCTCTACGGTTTAAAACAATCACCTCGGCAATGGAATTTAAGGTTTGACGCGTTTATTAAAACACTTGGGTTTACTCGGGGGATTAAAGATCCGTGTGTCTATGTTAAGAAGTCTAAGAAGGGAGAGAGTATCTATCTACTCTTGTACGTGGATGATATGCTTATTGCGGCTAAGAGTAAGAAGGATATTCAAGTGCTCAAGGAAAGCTTAAGTTCAGAATTCGAAATGAAGGATCTTGGTTCTGCTTCTAGAATTCTCGGAATGGATATAGTTCGTGATAGAGAAAAAGGGGTGCTTAAGCTTACTCAGAAGAGGTATATTGATCAGGTTTTAAAGACATTTGGAATGGAGTTCTGTAAACCAGTTATAACACCTACTAATTCTCAGTTCAAGCTAAAGAGTTTAACAGAGAAAGAGTGGTTAGTGGAGGCTAAAGAAGTGAGTTCTATTCCGTATGCAAGTGCAGTTGGTAGTCTTATGTACGCTATGGTGGGATCTAGGCCTGATCTGGCGTTTGCTGTTGGTTTGGTTAGTCGGTTTATGTCAAAGCCAAGTAGAGAACACTGGGAAGCTGTTAAGTGGATACTAAGGTATTTACAAGGGGCTAAGGATGTGTGTTTAACATTCACAAAATCAGGAGATTTTGGTATTGAAGGCTACAGTGACTCAGATTATTCTACTGACATCGACAAGCGAAGATCAGTCACAGGGTATGTATTCAAAGTTGGAGGTAATACTGTGAGTTGGAGATCGTCACTACAACATGTTGTAGCTTTATCTACAACAGAGGCTGAGTACATGGCGTTGTCTGAGGCTACTAAGGAAGGGTTATGGCTAAGGGAATTCTGTGAAGAGTTGGGTTTTGATTCAAACAGTTTTAAGCTACACTGTGATTCACAGAGTGATATTTGCCTAGCTAAGAATGCAGTGCATCATGATCGTACTAAACATATTGCGAGGAAAATTCATTTTATCAGAGACATTATTGATTTTGGTTTAGTGAAGGTCCTAAAGATTCATACGAGTCTAAATCCGGCAGATATGTTGACGAAGACGTTACCTGGAAATGCGTTCGAGAAGTGCCTCGTAACGCTGGGGATCGTCGCCTGATCGCTTCGTGACGTACTCCGAGATGGCTCTGTTGTTTGGTCGTCTCAGAAGAAGGAGTACATGAATCAAAGAGGCAAACGGGTTAGTGGTTTGTCATCTGGTTAAACAACAAAGTTCTAACGAAAAGGTGTTTCAAATGAAGGGTTTGTTCAACTTACGTTAAGGTCACTGGCTCATCTCCGAACAGGTTCAGGTGCCGATTAACTACAGTTACGTTTCAGTCAGGAAAGGTTTTCTGGTTAAAAGGTATATGTTCAGAGAATGTTGAAGTTACTTACAGTATTCGACGTTAGTGAGTCGTGGTTGATTGGCCATGGGTCCAGTTGGTGGTTGAATCATTGAGATTGCAGATCCAGGTGCCGGTACTGCAATAGATTCGGGAATTCTGAAGTCGTGTGGAAGAGTGAGAGTTGGAGATCTCACCGGATCAGATTCATAGAGCAGAGGTTCAGGGCTGGGTATTGGGGTTGCAGGGATCAGAGGTGTTGGTTTCTGGATTTCTCCGATGCTGTTTGAGCCGGTATAACTCGACTGAGGTGATTCAGACATGATTAGGGTTTCTGTTTGGTGTTGTGTCTCGACGGCGGTTTGACCTAAGAGACAAAGGTGGAGAATTGTGGAGTGTATTGTCGTTTTAGGTCATGGGCCTAATGGGTTTGCAAGTTGGTTATTGGGCTCTCGGCTTATTCGTTTGGGCTTAAAATGCAAGTGGCATTTGGAGTCCAGAAACACGGGATAGTACATTCCGTTAAAAGAGTGTTGTCCGTTAACTAACAACCAAACGGTAACGACTAACAACCATCATCATCTTCTTCGTTCATTATATAAAACAGAGAAGCTACAGAAGAAAGGATCTACGGTTTTACAAGGGAGAGAGTCAAGGAAGCTACCAAGTTGGAGGAGAAAGCTTGATCAAGAACAGAGAGATCAAGGTGCGGTCAAGCTCTTGCGATCTTCAGCTTTCTCCATATCGCTCTGCGTGTTCTCTTCAGTATCAGAGGAATCGGAGGCTGATAGTGAGTCGTCTTCTTCGCAGAGATCTTGGTATTCTTCCTGGAAAACCTCTCTGTACAAGCTCTTGTAATACCTGCACAAGTGAGTGTAAAAGATCGGTTAAGATCAAGCTATTGTATCAAATCGATATAGTAGTGGAATCATGAGAGTTTAGTTCTCTCTCCAGTCATTAGGCAACGAAGACTGGGTCAACAAAATCTCTGTGTTCATTTGCGTTTTGATTGATCCAAGTAGTATCACTTGTTAGTATACATTCATCAAGATTCAAAGAACTTAGGGATAACTTGATAAGGAAGCAATCGAACCTAGTTTGATACCTAACAATGCACACCTAGTGTTTGTTTGTTTGTTTCCCTCGTATGGATGAGATGCAGAGGAGAGGAGAGACTGATCAAAACAAATCATGACTATCACTGAGAGAGGGAGAGAGAGAGACTGGGTGTGGACTCAGTGTGAATCTGACTTTATAGCCGAATAGAATATCCAGCCAACGGCTACTTCCGATGATTTGACGACTCACTGACTCCCTTCGGTATGGCGTATAATAAATAGAAGACAGTCGCCGCTGTATAAGCAACCCACCCGGTTTCAATTAATGGGCCTTATTTTCAATTTGGGCCGACAAATTTAAGCCTCATGAATAGCTTATTGGCGCCAACTTAGCTGCCCATATAAATATCTTATTCTCTCTCATTCTCAGATCAGTCCTTTTCCTCATCCAAAACAATTATGTCATGGAACTTTACAATCTTCTTATGATTTTATAAGAAGAAAACCCTTCTGACTTTTTTTTGCGCAAAATGCAATGTTCCAATTACTTTTTTTCCATTTGAACAGTTACTCATGTTTCACACTTTATAAGTAAACAGTAGTTAGTGAAAACAACTGATCGGAGACCATGCATGGTCAAATTCCCAAACATTCAGGTAACTAAACCCCCTGCCCGATGGTGTTTGCCGGATCACTTTATGTAACACACAGCCGTATTTCTCTTATAGTTTTGAACCAATCAAGAAAAGAGTTTTCTCTTCTCTATAGGTTCAGAAACTTGTCACTCTGTTTCACGTAGCCGCCCGGGACTCTTGTGGAGCTGAGATCCTGCGAGTGTTGTAAGAGCCACAATTGCCGCACTTGTGTCCCAGAATGTGGAACATAGCTTTGCTGCTCTTATTGCAGTCATTGCAAAGAATTTCAACCTACAAACAGTTTTCCTTACTCGTGCTAACTGATGATATAAGATAATAAGATATTAAAAACAAGATTGATTTATAGACATTAGTTACCTCATAGTTATATTCACTAGGCATCTCTGTTGCCCTTATCTGTAAAGAGAAAGTTTGTTAGTCTTTTAACTAACTCATTTAATTAAGGGTTACTATACCAAATACCAAAAAAAAATTGTGACTGTTACATCGGCATCTAATAATCGCCACGAAGAAGACATATCCAACATTGACTTGTAGCAAATTGGGCATCGGTACCTGATACATAGAGAGATTATTGGTATGCATAATAAGAAACCATATTGGTTTGCTACTGTAGGGAATGCCTTAGAAGAGATCAAAGGACAAGTTATATAATTTACTGTTGTTCATGGATCATTTGGTCGAAGCAACCCATATGCATAGTATGGCCACATCTCATGACATGAGCAGCTTTTACCGAATCAAATAAAAACTGCAAGCCAGGTTTAGCAAAATCACAAAAAAAGAAGAAATGAATATTGATTGATCTCTCATCATCAAGTACACTCTACAACGAGTTCCATTTTTTGGATGGACAAACCTCATAACAGACAGGACAAGAGTTCTTTGTGGCGTTCTCAATGCATGAGTGATTATCGCGCAGGCCCATCGAATAACAAGCTCCTGCAAAAATTTACTCATTAACAACCATGCGAGATAACTAAAACAAATAAAATATGCCACACAAGATCTCACAGTTTAAAAGGGTGAAAAAAGAATTGTAACCATTAAAACTAGTATAGTAGACATTCAAGAGACTTGGCTACAAAACAGTTCCCATATGGATCAAAACAGTGTACGAAGGATGCTAATTTGCGAGAGAATTAAGATCCTACACTACACTAGTGGAATAGATTCGTATGTTCGATAGGAGCACAGTTGATGGAGACCATACGCATTTCTTTACACACACACACACCGCCACCAGTGTATCTATCTATCTATATGCGTGGAATAGAATAAAAAACAAAAAAAAAGGGTACAAATACCACAGCTTTGGCAATGAAAGAAATTGTCACGCCCACCAACTCTGAGAAAATAGTAAACCAACAAAGAAGATTAGGTGTGAAAGAGTTTAGACAGGAAACAAGATGGTGTGATGTATTTAAAATGCCTCACCTACAGATCCCACAGTCGTGACAATGAAATTGTTGTTTTGAGGTCTGCAAACATGATAACAAGGAGGGGAGTTAGAGAAAGAAAAGAGTAAGAGAAACATATTAAACGGATGCATGCAAAGATGGACCTCGTCGTCAAAGAAATTGCAGATGTTGCAAAAGTATTCCCCCATACAGACACCGCAATTCGAGCAGAGTTGAGCAACCTGATTGACATTTTTTTTTTAATTATTCATTTGACATACTGAACAGCTAGATAACCTTTGTAAAAATAAGAGAGAATAAGCAAACCCTTACCTCTTGCTCTGTTTCACATACTGAACAGATAACCTGAAAACAAATAAACAAGACAAAGTTTTTTTTTTTTTTTAAATGGCAAGGCAAAGAAAGAGAAACAAATTTACTGCGGACTATATGTATGTAAGAGAATTGGGTGTTTCAAATGCAACCAAAAAAAAAAGAAGACCTGTTTCACGTTTTGTCGAACCAAATCATGTCGATCTTTAGGATCAGATAAAGCATTCTGAAATAACAAAAAGAAGAAGAAACCAAACTTCTCAGCATAAAGAAGGGAGAAAAAAACAAGATGAATCGAAATAAAGGAAGGTAAAAAGAGAAGGATGGAACCGCAGCATCGTTGTGGCAATGGCGGCAAGGGAAGATGAGGTTGCAGCAAGGAGCTCTTATTTTGCATCTTCTCTTGTAGTGTTCGCACCTAATTCATTTGAGAGACAAAGTGAACAATCAAAAGAATTCAAATTAGAATCAGAAATAATTATTAAAAAAAAAAAAACTCAGAATCTGCGATGAGAACAATCAATCAAATCAAATCAAATCAAATCACCCGAATTGAGATCTCCCAAAGTCTCTGTCTCTAGGAATTGCAGAATCTTCATCCATTGGATGGAGGAGACTTGCACTCGCACCTCCCATCTGCATATGGAACCACACTAATAAGCACTACCACGACGACGATGCCGATGAACCAGCGTTAATTATTATTTTTTTATTACGTCCCCCGAAAATGAAATCACAATTGTCTGTCCTTTACCAAAGTTTTTTAATTATTAATTCCCTCGAGTTAGCTTTAAGGTTTGCAATTAAAGATTAGCTCCTTTTAAAAGATGTTTACACTCTAAACTTGTGATTCTCTACACGCTTATGTTCTCACTCTTTTAATTTAAAGACAAACATTAGAGCTTAACCCCATACTACACATTTCTAAGGCTGCACAACATAGAAGAACCAAACCAAACCAAGATATATGCAAATGGTCCAAAATTTTAGTATTTGATCCGAATCGAAAACAATAATAATTTTTAACAAAATTAATTATTTTGATATCTAATATTAAAAAATAAAAATACTACACTTAAAAAAAATACATGAAAATTGCTCAAAAATATAAAAATAAATATCTAAACACATCAAAAATACTCAACATAAACAACCTTAGATATCTACTAGTTCTAAACTAAAATATCCAATCAAACCAACAATTTTCGATATTTAGCATATAATATCCATACTTATATGTTGTATATTGTTTTATTTTTGGGTTTTAAGGCTTATAAGGTATATATGACTTTTTATATTTGCTTACATAATTTAAACGGGATATCCGAATCTGCACCAAATGATTAAATTGATGTTTATGCACAGAAAGAAAGTTATATTGTTTGATTCCAGATATTGCTAATTAATGGAGATATGTTGATTGTGTTGTTGTGGTATGGTAGATGTTAGTTATGGGCATCAACACTCTTGTTGAACAGATTGTTTGTTGAAAAATACTATAAAAAAAAAAAGAGAGATAGCTTAATCTAAAAAATTAGCTATATTTCGAGCCGTTTAGTTGAATAAGATGAACAACAGTACTAATTAACTATTGTCGATTATTTATAAAGTCAGGGATGCCTTTGGAACAAAGATGATGATGATGAAGATATGAATAGATTGGGGAATTATTTTCTCACGCGCTTGCCGGTCCAAAGTTAAGAACCTTTGAGTCCTACAGACAAAGACAACAAGTGAAGCTAGTTCTTACGCGTTCCTTACCCGATTGATTAGATTCTCCATGAATCCCAAAGAACTCGGAAGTTAAGTAAAGCCTCTTTCCTTTTTTTGCCATCACCAATCATCATTCAATAACAACCATCAACTTAATTTTGCAGTTTCTTTTTTATTTTTATTTTATTAAAATACACCTCACTATACATGTATTTGGTGCTTCAAACTCTAAATAGCTTTTATTTTTAGTGTCCTTGGATCCATATATTAGTAGTTTTGCGCAAGGAATAGAAAAAAAAAGGTAAGAGAATTGTGTGCTTTGTTATCGTGATATAAAGTGAGCATAGAGAACTAATTCATGTTCTTAAAACTAACAATTATTTGTAATTTCAATCATTTAATATTTAGGACCCTTATGTACTTGTTGTTTTGTTATAAATAGCCTGAGACAAGCTAAACATTTCTCATTAAGATTTTGAATTAGGAAGGATTTTAAAGGCATAGCGTCACTCTTCTGTGTGGTTCAAAGACAGGATACCTAAGCCCTCATTGACTGGATGGTTCGTAGCACGGAATAGTGTGCAAGCAATGAACAGGTTGATGAGTTGGGAACTTCCAATGCCATATTTGGAAGGAGAGGAACCCCCATTTACACACAACCTACGTCTCGTACCCCCATAGCTCCTTTTTGGGTAGTTTGTTTTATATACCCTTTTTCTTAGTATATAAACTACTATCTGATATCATTTTAAGTTTTCTGACCTCATTCATACCATGAAGCGAATGTGATAATTATATATAAAAATAAAAAGGCAATATTATAACATATACTAATATACATCAGTACATCCACTGATTAATGAAAGATGAAAATACATTGCTAGATAATTAAATTCTCAGACATGAGCGAAACAAAACATAAACATTAACTAGATACAAGTACATGATACACATTTACGTGTTATCTTTTCCCAACCATGATTTACTATCTAATCAACACACCAATTATCTTTTATTAGTAAGGATGGATTCATTTTCTAGTTACGAAATGATTGATACGGCTTGATCAAGGGAACGAGAGAGCCACTTAGGTGAAGCGACATAACGTCGTTGGTCGAACCCACCAACTTACCACTCACAAAAACAGCAGGAACCGAGTTGGCACAGCCAAGTCGGACTAAGGCCTTCTCGATCTCGCGGCAGTCAGGATCGTTGTCGATCTCGTGGATTGTTGGCTGAACCCTAAGGTCGCGGAATAGGACCTGCACGGCGTAGCAAAGACAGCATGAGTTTTTGGTGAAGATCACAACTCCTTTCTCTGATGACATTCTCATCACCCTGTCCATGATCAGATTCTGAACTGACGGCTCTGAACGAGATATATAAGCTATATGTCTCTCTTACTTTGGTGTATGTTTCTTTGTTCGTTTTAAAACTTGATGGTCGTGCTTGGGCTATTTATAGGGAAGGCAAGTAGTGCAAGATCCCTTGGACTAGTCTTTTCTCCTTTATACAATGTTCTCTCCGTTTAAAATATCTGTTGTTTTAAGAAATTTTTTAATTCTAAAATAGATGACGTTTTTCAGTTTTTATATATAATTTATTAACAATTAATTTTAGATGACAAATGATATTATATACTTTCTATTTTACTACTAGTTGAATTATGGTTAGATAAATAATTAAATGATGTTTTATTTAGAAAATGTAAAAAGTTAAATATATTTCATTCTATGTGCATAATTATAAAACGTCATATTGGAAAACAGAGAAAAATTATTTTAACATGAAAATAGCAATCCTTTAGTTTGGATGTACAAGTTGCAGAAAAATATTTATGTGATTTTTTTTATTTAGCATCTATATTATGGCGACAATCATAAACTAAGCATACGATTCGAGGAGGTTAATTGCGTATATTGTAATGAGTTGGAATATTTATGTCTGTGACAAGTGAGCAGTATATAGTATTATTGGATCTAAAGGCAAGCAAGTGAAGGAAACGCCCCTTGATTGCGTGCATGCTTTGTCACATGTGTGTCCGATGCTTTTTAAGACGAATCTCATTGACAATGAAAGACAACTAACTGTATACTATAATCACGCACAAAAGTCAAAGACGCAGCACTTAAACTACGTAAGTTTGTTTTGAACTTGTCGACTATATTAACTTCGAACAGACCAAGAAAAGCAAAGCATATAGCAACTACGTATATCTGTTCCATGGACAAAGGCTTTCGTCAACTTGAACGGACTGAACAATTTAGGCTGATTTTTCAATTTTCGCCAGTTTTTTTTTGTTAAAGAAGATGATATTTACTATATTACCAACACACTGGAGTATGGCACAATTACAAACACGTTGTAAGTGTATAAGCATTCATTCTCCTTCGTCCTCATACAAATTGGCTAAATAGTGTTTGCCATGACCGACACTGAGATTTTGAGAGCGGTAAACACTTTAGTAAAAGTAGTAGAAATTTTTTTTTATGGATTTAATTTTTTTTTCTACAAATTCAAAAGTTTTTGTTAATATATATTTTTTTAAAAAAATTAGAGACCATAGATAAATGTTTCATCAAGTTTGGCTCATAACCGGTCTTGTGGAAATGTTGGTGTAAGTTTATTAGCCTATATAATTCTAGGTTCTTTTGAAGGCAAGAAATCATGGACCAAAATTCATAATCTTTTTTGGGATAGGAGCAAAAGTCGGTTGCTAAATCTTCTCTCCGTAGCTGTCTGAGATTAGAACCTGAGACCCCTTTTCATATGGCTGAAGGTTTTGCCAGTTGAGTTAACAACTTTCGATTGTAATTCTAGGTTTTCCAACCACTTTGCTTATATATGGTTTATCAAAAATAACGAAAAGGTGGTTTTTCCTTCCAATTATTAGCATGATACTCATTGTATAAAAAAATGTTTCTTGACTTTGAGTTTTGAAACCACCGTAAAAGCGAAGTGGGGTTGTCGATCATTTGTTTTGTTCTGTTCATAGCTCATTGATCGAATCCTTATGGGGTAGAAAAGAAGAATGTATAACCAAAACAGGATTCGAAACACGTAGTGATTATTCCCTTGTTCACTGTCCTCTACCACCAACTTGCATAAAGACAAATATTCTTTGTCTATCTCACTCTTACATTACACACTCATGTTTGATTCTGCTTTTTCCCTCTTCCCAGACGTAACTACATACTTGTAAAATGGCTGGGAAACAAAACTCTCACAATAACGAGATCAGTCTTACAACTTTTTTTTTTGTGCTTGAATTATCATATGTACTACATATTATAACTCGGTGACCTAATTAGTGATTACAGACAAAATGTTGTGTGATAAATAAACCCTCGTGAAATTTGTTTATTTTTATGAAAGTGATCTTAGTCGATATTTAATGATAAAACAGATAAAAACTAGAAAGAAATATCTAGTAGTGCGACGTGAATACGTGATTTATCGTACTGACCACATGTTTACCTAGTGTTGTTCTATGTTCCGGTGACTTGTGGGTGAAGCTTTTCAAGTGTATAAGATATTCGCCCTTCTATAGTTCTATTCATTCACGAAGATAAGGGATCCTACAGAAGTAATCGTCTACGTGTATAATTCCTTGTTGATTATCATCTCTTGTCTTGTCATTTCATCGATAATTTTTTTTTTTAAACCCAGTATCCGACCACTAAGCGTGATCGACTAGCCCACCGGGCCTAAGCCTATGCCATGATAGGATTTTTATGCATCCACTTAAGGGACCCCTGGTTACGCTAAGTGGTCTGGAGCGTCACACCAACTCCGCAGGTAAATTATGTGGTGGCCGGGGTTCGAAGTCGGATGGCGGGCACCTCAGCCGAGGTTCCTTTACCACCAGGCTACGAAGCCCGGTTCATCGATAATTTTGGTGCAGTAGCATTTCAGCAAACTAGATGACGCATTAATCAGATGATTTTAGACTTTAGTTGGCTTCACTTACGTGGATCGAAATTTAAATTAGTGTTACAACAGTTGCTTAAAAAGCTCATTTGTCTTTTCTTCCGTACAATGCAAGTCAAGATACATAGATTCACTTATTATAAATCACTTCCATGCGAAGGAAGCAAAGCATTTTAATACATCTATGCTTCCTTCGGATTATCTATAATTTATACATATAATATGTGTGTTTTAACACATTGATTATTAACGTCATATATATATATATATGTATACACATGTAATGGTTAGAACGCTATAACCATATGGCCTTAGCGTCTTTAAGCATCTGTTTGAGCGAACCGTCGACGTGGAACGAGATGATATCTTTGGCTGATCCGATGTACCTTCCTCCGACAAAAACAGCTGGAACTGCTGTGTTGGATGAGCCAAGCGCACGCAGGGCCCGCTCCATTTCTCGGCCCTCGGAGTCCTTATCGAGCTCGTGGATCGCTGGACTAGCTCCTAGTTCGTAGAACAGCGTCTTGATGCTATGGCACATACAGCATGAGCTCTTTGTGAATATTACTGCTGCTGTCTTCGACGACAAATCTCTTATTCTCTCCATTGCGATTGATCAAGAAAAGTTGTAGTGAAGTGTTTGTTTTTTGTAATGAGAAAGGTTTAGGTTGTGTTTGTACGTATGCTTGGATCAGCTGGTATTTATAGTGGTCATTGTGGAAGATCTTGATATTATTTTATTTTGTATAATAATTTACTGGATAACTAGATAATTGACATACCCCACTCGAAATAAATATATTGTAATTGAAATGTCCCACAAACCAAAATTTCCTAGAAAGAGGCTAATTATGGATAAGAAAAATGCTTGCCCTTCTGATTTTGTATGATGGGGCTCTTGTATTATTAGTTTAATTTTTCGTTGATTGTCAAGTTATTTTTTTTTTTTAAATGGACTTGTAGCAGAGGTGGGATTAGTTGTTATATATCATATAATCTGTATTATATTACAAAAATATTAATCGAGAGATGACTTATATCACTTTCGGTCCGTGGCTGGCAGTAGCATCACATACCCAAAAACATTAATTTCCAATTATATCTTATATTCCCCTTTTAAGTTAAATAAGTGGAAACGTGGAAGGTTAATAATTTGCGGTACTGTGCCATGAATAAGTAGGAGATACTTCATGCTTTTTGGTGTTCATTAATCAAGGAGAAGGTGATAAAATTTAGCATTGACTGTATAACTGTTTGACTCGTTCTTACAGCATTTATATTCTTATATTTTTGTTCATGTATTTTCCCTAATGTGACCATTAAGAGGCTTTAAACCTGTATAATTAGCAAACAAAAAAAAACACTATAAGTTCTATTAGCAGGAGTGTACAACTCAACTAATCATCCACATTTTTTAATTAATTTTTTCATGATTGTATTATAAGTACCTAAAGAGAAAGATAAAGCCGTTTCTAGACAACATCATCGCGTATTGGCTTTTTATACGTGGACGACAAAATCTATCAACAATAATAGTTGCTAATTATAGGTACATGAATTGTGATATGATAAACTAAAAGTATACGCATGTCGGTTCATAACTAAAATAACTAATAGAGGGTGGTGTTAATGCTCTTAATGTACTTTATACATTATGTTTCAGAGTAGTTGCATATAGTATTTAAAATTCAGAAGTGTACGCGACGAGGAAAGAGATTTGGTGGTGCTGTTGCGTCATCTTTGACATGGAAAAAAATCTGAGATAAGAAGTTTATCCATATCTGACCCTACTCCACAAATATAGCAAATATAAAGTTAGCCATTGTTTGATAGGTGTGCGTATACAGGAATAAAAATGTGTCAATGTGTATGTAAGTGATTCCATCTTATAGGTAATGTGTGTGTGTAAATGAAGATACCATCCATGTGTCGCCTACTTGCTTTGCTCATAATATCTCAAAATTCTATATGTATATATATTCTTACTTTTTTCCACGAATAATGAAATCTGCAATACAATTGATTTTTGTTTTTGTAATTAAAATGGGTTGACATTATAAAAATAAAGAGAAGAAGAACATAATAAGACACTAGACACTCTCCACTTGGCCATACAAGATTCCATCTTTATGCTTAGAAGAAACATATTTACATATGAACATTTTTCATATATAAAATAAATTTTACATCTTGTAAAAAAGTATTTTACATATATATATATATGTAAGATAATATATATATAAGATAATTCTTTCCCCACTATCAGAAAATATATTCTTTCATATATATTCAATAATATACATCCCCTATATATTAATTGAGGAACATTTGAAAAGATGTAACCTCAATTTTGTATTAATTAAAAGAGGCCCCAATGCATAGGTGTCATTCAATTAGGTAGTCAATTAGATTCAATTGAAAAATAAGTAAGTCCACATTGGGGTTTTATAGGTTGCTAGACACATTAGTTAGTCAAACTATATGATATGATGATATGATATGCTATTTTCTTTCCATAAATAAAATCTACGGAATTACCATAAATGACTAATATATATATGACACTTAATGATTGTTCCCTAAAATATAATTACTATTTTATTTTATTTCCATAAATAAAACCTACGGAATTACCATAAATGACTACTATATATATATATATATATATGACACTTAATGATTCTAATAATAAATATTTGATAACAGTTTATATATCCTCCATCATTTTTCTTTAATTTTATATTATTAAAAAAATAAAACAATCAAATTAGCTATAAAATTAAACTTTAGATTTTTTCGTTTAGGTTATGTTTTGAATTTTAAGAAACGAGAATAAAATAACTAAACTATTATAATTATTCTGTTAAAAATTAATGATCAATAGTTTAACATTTTATTATAAAAAGATATACATGATTTTAAAACCATATAAGTAAAAAGTATCATTCAATAATAAAACAAATATATATATACAGATTAAACTATATACCATATAAGATTACATAAATATTTTAATTTCAAAATTTTCAATAAATTTTCAAGAACATTTATAAATTATAA